GCCCTGTTAGCAGAGGGATCCCTGGGCCCTGCCCCCTGCACCCCGCCTTGCAGACCTGGGTCTCCCCACGGCAGACCCTCCTCTGTGCTCCTCCCCCCACGGCGCCCGCAGGTTTGGCCTCCGAAGCCTGGCACCCAGTCGCCGTCTCTGCAAACTCTCTCCTGTCTGCAGCGCCCCCTCCGCTGCTTGGCAGCCGCTCTGGGGCCCAGCCTTGGCCCTCGCAGGCCCCTCGGGTTCCATCCTCTGGGCTGGATTCTGGGCTGACCGTCTGACTCACATCGGGACAGGTGTGCAGGGTCCCCAGGCGGGCGTGGGCACCAGGTCCTCCTGGCCGCCGGGCGGGGGAGCTCCAGCTGTGGGGACTCCACCGCAGACCCTCCTCCCACCCCTCACGGTCACTCCTGGAGGAAGGCCAGGCTCACGCTGTGTCAGGAAACGAGGCTATCCGTCACCATGCCACCGGCCACTTTAGGGAAATTCACCGAAAATCAATTTCCTGAAAGGCAATTTGCGGAAGGCCAAGTGAGCAATTGATCACCGAGGCTTGTGACCTGTGTGTGCTGGGTGGAGGGGCTCTCGGCGCGACCCTCAGAGAAGTGGACTCAGCCCCCCGGGGTGGGGGGAGGCACTGGAATCGGGGAGTCCCCTCCTGCGAATGTGATGCCCTGAGCCACACACCCCCTCCCCCTCCCCCCGCAGGTGGCCCGCCCCGGCCTGCGCCTCCCCCAGAGGCTGCATCCCAGCCCCCGGATGTGGTCCCCAGGGGACCCCCCCCACCCTGAACACGTCCCTCCCGAGCCCACTGACCCCAAACCCCAGTCTCCGGGTGGTCTGCGGACGGCATCCGGACCCAGCTCCCACCTTCTCCTCCTTTCTGACCCCCTCCTGGGCCCTCCTGAGAGCCCCCTGCTTGGGGAAGCTGGCCTCCCTCCTGAGCACTCTGGCTGCCCACCCTCGTTCTCTCCCAGGACACCTCACCAGAGAGGCAGCCCCCGTCGTGAGGCCCCTTCGGGTGGCCGGCTGCTCCTCCTCTGATGCCCCCCGCTTCCCCCCGGCTGGGCCCCCCATGGCCACACCCTCGGGGTCCTCCTGCTCTGGCCTGCTCTGCTCCCCCTCCGTCCCCCGCCCTACATGCTGATGACCACCACCCCCAAGTCAGGGACCCGGCGTCTCCCTCAGGTGCCCCCACCGCCCAGCGCAGAGAGCCTCACAGCCTGCAGAGTCCCAGGACCAGTGGCATCGCCCGAGCCGCAGGGCCGGCCTGGGGTCACCTGCTCTGCTCAGCCCTCAGGAGCAGTGCGTCTGCCTCCGTCTGTCTGTCTGTCTGTCTGTCCACCTGTCTGCAGCAAGGGCTAGAGACCGAGGCTGGCACAGCGGCAGGCAGATGGACACGAGGCAGAGAGGGCGAGCAGAGGCCTCAGGGCCCCAATCCTGAGCCACGCTGGGGGTAGCATCCTTTTCAAGAGGACTCTGTGGGCCTCGGCTGCATGGGGCACAGTTTTCTGGAACAGCTGCTGGAGGACGTGGGGCCCTGAGCACCGTCGTGGGGGACGCGAGGCCTCTGTGACCCTAGAACAGCTCCCTGGAGCCCCAGCCACCAGCCTGGGGCAGGGAGGGGAGGGGAGACACAGCCCCGGAGGAGGGCTGGCCTCCCGGGGCGGCCTGACTGCCCTGTGTCGCCCCCAGCCCAGAGGTCAGAGCCAGCGCCGTCTCCCCAGGTGCCTCCGGCTCCTCTCCAGAAAGATCCCCACTCCCTGGCTGAGACCCTCGAATCTCCAGTCTCAGGAAGGCCACTGTCCACCCTGTCTTTGAATTAGAGTCTTACAGTCTCCTGGGCAAAGGGCTGGGCCTTTGGAGGGACACCCATGGCCCTGAGAGGTCCACTTCCCGATCCCAGAGCTGAGACCCAGCAGGTCATGTGGCAAAAGGCCCCTGAGGGAGAGGTGGTCCCGCATTGTCCAGTGGGCCCAGCATCCTCTCGAGGGTCCCGAGAGTGGCAGTGGGGCAGGGGGGTCAACAGGAGTGAACGTTGGAGCAGATGGGACAAGGCAGGCAGATCAGAGAGTGGACGGACGTCACTGCTTCTGGAAGGTTCTGTCCTTAAGAAACGGTTGGTAATCAGCTCCAGGTCCTCTGATTCTCAAGGGCCGGCCTGCCTCGATAATTTCTGCATCTGAGGGACCGAGGAGGGCGGGAGTCTCCTGAGTCTGGGGGGCAGGAGGGCAAAGGGCAGAGGTCAGGGGAGCTCAGGGTGTGGCAGGAATGATGCTGCATGGATGGGGGTGTGAAGTCAAAGAGGGGCGCTCTCTCGAGTGCAGAAGAAGGGGGTGCTCTGTGTAGGGGTGCAGCTGTGGGGGCGGGGCAGGGGCAGCGGGGTGGGGGAGCCGTCTGGGCTGGGCTACAGGGCCTGTCTCCAAGACCTTCACCAGTCTTCCCACGACGGCCTGACCAGCCGTCCCACCGTGTCATGGACATCTCGCCCTCTGTCTGCGTCTGGAGCCCCCGGGCTCGCTCAGGACGAAGGCGTCAGGCAGGTGAGGTGTGTTGCCGTGGAGGTGCTCCCTGTTCGTACCTTTGTATCCAGATACCACAACCGAGACACTTGCCCTAAAGACGGGGATTCTGAGGTTTTATTTTGCACATTTCTGTTTAAGGAAAAAAAAAAGGTGAGCATCTCATTGTGCACCCAGGTTTTAATCAGTCAGTTGAGTCTGAGTCTGAAGACAGAACCGGGAGCATGGATGTCCATGGGGTCTCAGCGGGGGCAGAGAGCAAAGGTGTCCTTTCTCGCCGTTTGTCTCACGTGGGCCTCAGTGGACGGTGGGATGCTGGCCCACGTTTACATAGTCCACCGACTCAAATGCCGATCTCCTCTGACACCCCCACAGACACACCCGGAAAGCATGTGTACCTGTCCAGGCATCCCTTGCTCAGGCAAGCCGACTCCCCGCCCAGGCAGGAAAGGACTTGCCCTTCCCCACCACCATTCCAGGCGAGCGAGCAGGGCGGGTGCAGGACCACTCCTTTAAGCCCACTCATCCCAGGCTGGCTAGTGATGACTCGCCTTCACCCAGAGGGACTGCAGACCCTCTGAACGGGTCCAATTAGACCTGGGCTGGAGATGTCCTCCACAGTCCCAGGGTGCCCGTGGCCAGTCTGCCTCCGGGGACACGGACACCAGAGCAAAGAAAACAGGCTGAGTCTGTTGTCGGGAAAATATCAGGGCCTGGTTTGTTTTCTGTTCTCTGCAAAATTTCCAAAACCGTGGGACTGTGAACTCAATGCTGGGACTTCCCAGAGCCCTGGAGCAGGTTCACACAAGTCCCGATGCTACAGCTGCACACGTTCAAGCAGGTTCGCTTCTGCGGGGAGTCCCATGGAGGGATCAACCTCACACACCCAGTGAAACCGTGAGTACAAGGTGCAGCTCGTCCTGGGCTCACAGGAGACCTGCTGTGCAGACGTGGCTTTGGGAGACAGTGGGGCAAGGGTCTCACCCTGTGAGTCTGCCCCCAGGGACACGGGACAGCGTCCAGACGTCTGGGCTGTCCTGACCGGGAACGCTCCTGGCATCGGGGGTGGAGGCCAGGGGTCCCGCTGAACAGCCCTTGATACACGGGACAGCTGGACCCCGGGCGCCGTCCCCTCCCGGTCCGTGGTGCGAGCTCCACCCTGGAGTCTCAGCAGCTGAGCTCCTCAGCTCAGCAGAGGACCGGTGAGTGTAGCATCTGGAGGCGGGCAGAGATCCAAAGTGTATCAAACGAGTAGGAGATGCAGCCGCGCGGGCGGCTGCGGCCGGGCAGGACACACACCGGGCGCCTGGGCACAGGTGCGCACCGCGCTGGGCCGGGCGGGGCGGGAACGCCAGAGCTTGGTCCAGGCCAGGCCCTGAACCGCAGGAGGCGCTCAGAGCTGGGACCTGCAGAGGGGTGGTGACCAGCTTGCCTCTCTGTTTCACGGGAAAGATCGTTTTCTGTGTGCAGCCTGTTCCCATTGTTTGGCCGGCTTAGGGGGCCCGCGGCTGACATCTCCCCGGGAGCGAGGCAGGAGGCGAGGCTCCGCTTTCAAGGCCCGTGGTTGCCTCCCGGCCATCCAAGGAGCTGGATTTAGCCCAGCTTCAAAAGGCATTTCCAGCCTTTAATTCCTGGATGTGGCTCTGGCCCTGCCCTGGCCTCCGGCTCCCCGCGTCGCAGGCTCACAATACCTGCTTCTCGGATGAATCAACGAATCTGGGACGACTGGCGAGAAGGGAGCCAGGCAACCTGCCCTGTTATCAACCTGTTCCCACCGTCACCAGGGAAGGGAGAGCCAGGAGGGCTGGCGCCCAGCTCCCAGCAGAGACCCTCAAAGGCAGGAGGGCAGGGAGCCCCCCGACGGCGCGGAACGGGGCCCCGCTGCCTGGACGCCTCACTTGGGCTGAGAAACACGCCAAGCCCCGGTTCCCATAAATCCGGCTTTTATGTGGCGATGAATAGGGGCAGACAATGGATCTATTTTAGGCTGCGGAGAAACTGGCCCAGCCTGGGTCTCCCTCCTGCAATTAGGAGCCTCGACATGGCGGGGCCTGGAGTCCCCGGCCGGCATGGAGGCCTCACAAAGGCGGAGTCCTGCCCGGCTTGGGGGAGGAGATTCCACCCTCCTCGGGGTCTGCTGCTGGCAGGCCCCTCTCCCACCGCGGGAGGAAGTGCTGTTGGCAGCCCCGGCTGCCAGCAGGGCCCAGCGGGTGGCGACCGCCCCACCTCCCCATCTCTTGGGCACAGGGCTGGCCCTGGGCCCCACGTGGTGTCCCCCACACCTGCTCCCAGAACAGGAACCGCCCCCTCCTCCAGGGCCCCCTCTCCCACCATGGCCAGCCTCTGCTGGACACCCCACTCCCGCGGAAAGCGCACCCCGGAGACGTCTGAGAAGCGACGTCAGCTTCCTCTAGCGCCGCACTGCCTGCGGACACTCCGCCCGCTGGTGGGGTGGGCACTGCGCGTGCCCAGTGGAGCACGTTGGCCATGGCTGCGCAGCAGCCCTCCCTGCCCCGACATGGCCCAGGCAGAACAGGACTCCCCACCTCAGACCACACCCGTCCAGGCAAGCGTCCCGGTAAACTGTGCATCCTCCAGACCCTCGTCACGCGGGCCGCCAGCCTTCCCCGAGGTTAGGCAGAGGGAGGGGCGGGCGTGGCAGAGGGCCCTTGGTGCCACACTGCCCTCCCCAGCCCAGGCCTCCTGGCCACACCCCCAGACCCCCACCTGGGGGGAGAAAGGCTGCCAGCCTGCGTCTCCTGGGAGCAGCCACGTTCGCCTCTGCCAGCTGTTCTTCTGGCCTTCACCTACTTACGTCTGAAGAACAGGGTCACACCTGTGATGGCTGATTCTATGTGCCACTTGGCCAGGCTGCAGTGCCCAGGCATCTGCTCAAGCACAGTCTAGGTGCTGCTGGGAAGGTGCGTTTTAAATGGAAGCAGACGACCCTCCACAATGCAGATGGGCCTCGTCCAGTGGGTTGAACGCCTTGAGGGAAAAGACCAAGGTCTCCCAAGAAGGAGGAATCGGTCTCCAGGCTGTTGCTGGTCTCCAGATTGCAGCCCCGACTCTCCCCGGGGCTCCTGCCTGCCCACCTGCTCTGCAGTTTTGGGGCTTTTCACTCACATGAACCAGCTCCTTAAGCTAAACCTCTCTCCCTCTGTCCTTATACACCCATTCCGTCGGTTCCGTTTCTCTGGAGGCCTTGACTAACCCACACCCCGCGGCGGGCAGCCTTCGAGGTGGTCCCTGACGACCCTGGCCTGCTGGTGTCCGTGTCCTCCCGTGAGCGCGGCCGGGGCCTGGTGATGGCTCCTGACACAGACAGCCTTGCAGCTGTGACGGGCAAACTTGCCTCTGGGATGCGGGCCCAGAGAGACCCATCGTGCTCACCTTCTCTTTCTCTCTCTCTCTCTGGGGTCAGAACCTTCCTTCTCGGGGAGCCCAGTGGTCAGAGGGGAGCCACCCACGGAGAGGTGCTGGTGGCACGGAACCCACAGCCAACAGGGCTCTGAATCCTGCCAACAGCCTTGCTGAAGCTGCAATACTGTGGCCGCCTGATGTGAAGAGCAGATGCATTGGAAAAGACGCTGATGCTGGGAAAGACTGAAGGCAGGACGAGAAGGGGACCACAGGATGAGAAGGTTGGATGGCATCACCAACTTGATGGACATGAGTGTGAGCAAACTCCGGGAGCTGGTGATGGACAGGGAGGCCTGGCGTGCTGCGGTCCATGGGGCTGCAAAGAGTCAGACACGACTGAGCATCTGAACAGTGACAACAGCCCTGTGAGTGAGGGGGCTCCTTCTGCAGCCAGGCCCCCCGGCGATACCTTGAGACCCCAAGTCAGGAGACCCTGCTGCCCCCGTGCCTGGATCCCTGCCCCGCTCAGCCTGGGTCTGCCGGGCAGGGTCTGTCGTTAGGAGGGGTTGGTTACCCTGGAGCAGGTACGGCACACACGCCTCCCTCTTTATCATCTTAGACCTTGTCTGTGGAAGGCTTCCTGTCTCACTCTGATTCTCTCTCCCCGTCTCACAGCAAACCTCAAAGTCTGGGTAAAATAATATTCAGATCTCAAAGGATTACGATGAGGTAAAGAAAATGTATTGGGTTGGCCAAAAAATTTGTTCAAGTTTTCCGTAAGATCTTATGAAAAACCCAACTGAATTTTTTGGCCAACGCAAAAATGCATTGCCACTAAGTTGTGCATTCCGATGGTATTTCCTTCTCTTTAAATCCCATCCCCAATCCAAGTTAGTTGCTACCTTGCTTTTACTGAAAAAAAAAAAAAAGGAGGAAGCATAGTTTTCCATGCAAGTGAGTGAGTAAAAGTCGCTCAGTCCAACTCTTTTTGACCCCATGGACTGTAACCCACCAAGTTCCTCTATCCATGGGATTCTCCAGCCAAGAACACTGAAGTGGGTTACCATGCCCTTCTCCAGGGGATCTTCCCAACCCAGGGATCAAACCTGGGTCTTCTGCATTGTAGGCGGATTGTTTACTGTCTGAGCCAGCAGGGAAGCCCTGTTTATAATTCCAGCGCTCTCTCAGAATTTTCAAATGCCATCAGTATCTGCACAAGTGCTCAAATGCGCAGATGATCTACTGTTTCCATTTTCCTTTTCCACTGACAATCTCGCTCATTCCTGGCGTCCCTGGGCCTGCAGGACATGTGTCACTCGGGGACTGCCCCCACCTTTGTTTGGAAGCGCTCGACCTGCAGCTTCTCAGGGTCAGCGAGGCGTGGGACAGGGAGCCTGGCAGGTAAAGTGTTGAGTCTGTGTGGGCCCAAACGTACCCTGTTCTCTTCCAGTGGTGGCTGATGAATCTTTCAGGCACAGTGTCCTGGCCCGGTCCAAGGACTGGAGCGGGCTTCCTGTGTCCCCCAGCTTCCACGGTGGCTAGAAAGATCCAATGACACTTGAATTCATTCTTTTTACGTGATCTGCCTCTGTGCTTGGACGCGTGTAGGCTCTCCGCTTTGTGTCCAGTGTCCTGCAGTCTCCACAGTCATGTCTCCGTGGGCCTTCCCAGCCAGCCTCACAGTCTGTCAGAGGTCGGGCCAGACCCAAGACAGTAGGAGCCCGTCTGAGCCCAGGCTCTGCCCGCTGGACCAGTCTGCCTCAGGCGCCTTACTCCTGCAGGTCCAGGCGGCAGGATGGATGGTCATCATGGTCCAGGGAGCGAGTCTTTCCAGCCAGCCAGTGGGGGCCGGGCCGTGGGGCTGCAGAGAGGTGTGTGGGTCCCCAGAAGGGGGTACTCAGCGATCCTTCCCGGCTCTGCGACACCCCCTCCCCACCCGCCCCCCAGGGCGCTGTCTGTCCCTGGCGCAGAGCCTGGCCCCAAGGCTCGGGTGAGGGCACGGACACTGGCTGGGAGCCCCCTGTGTGCGGGGACCCTCCCCTCCGGCCCCCCGCAGCCCTTAGACCTCAGCGCCCAAGGCACCATTTCACAGATGAGGGGACTGGGGTGCACAGATGCTGGGTAACTGGCTCAGGGTCCCACGGCTGCCAGGGGCAGGAAGGCCCAGAAGCCAAGGTGCCCTCCCCACTTCCCGGGTCTTGGAGGGAGGTGCAGCTTTCCAGGGGGCAGCCCTGGGGGGCCAGGCCAGGCACCCCGGGCAGGGCTGACCCTGAGAGCTGGTCTTAGGCCCTCCTAAGGCACCAGGCTCACCCCAAGACCCTGAACAGGAAAAGGTCTGGAAAGGAGACAGGCGATTCTCTGGGGGCTGGACGAGTTACCTTGTAAAGAGGGGACTTGGGGGAGGCCGGTCTGCAGCCTGTGGTCCGAGTGGACAGGGCACCTCACGGGGACTGAGGGGCAGCGAGGCTCAGGCTGAGCAGAAGCAGACCGAGTGGGCCCCTGGCTGCAGGGTGGGCCTGGGCAACGCAGGACGCCTGCCTCGAGGGCCTGGAGCCTGCGGCATGGGGATGGGGCACCCCACGCATGCACCCCTCCATGCTGGCACTGCCTCCCGGACCTCACCTGCCCACTCCGCTTTCCTGGGAGACGAGGGGGAGGGCGGAGGAGTCTCGCTCAGCCGGGGGTCCAGTGGTTGAGGACGCCAGCCTGCTCCGGACGCAGAAGGCAGACCCACAAAAGTGAAGGGAGGCTGTGCCCTCGGGGTGTTTGATGACAAGCAAGGGCGCTGGTGTGAGGGGAGGGGCGGCGGGTGCCCGGTTCAGCCCACTGACAAGCCGCGTAGGTGGTGACTAGGGCTGACCACACGTGTGGTCAGTGAGCTGTGCCCCCCTCTACTGTGCCCCCCATGACCTCAGTGAACGTGGATAAAACAGCAAAGCTCCCAAACCCTCCACTTTGTAATATACCCTCCAGCCCAGCGCCCCAGACCTCCCCACAGCCCCCCGCCTTCCCCAGCTCCCCACCACCCCCCACAGCCTGCCAGTCCTGGAGGAAGGCCAGACACCCTCACACCTGGCCAAGAAGCTGGCCAGTTTCCACATCATGCCCACCCTCCTCACTGTATTACTGAAAACGTGTCAGGGATTTGGGGCTTGTAGGCATAGGTGAAGTGCCGGATATGCTCACCGGACCCTCCAGTGAGCCAGTAGACCCGGCGGGCACTGGGCCCCGTGAATGAGGAGCATGCGCACTTGACCCAGGTCTCTGCCCACGGTCACCTCCCCGGGGACAGGATCTGTGGGGAGGACGGAGCCCGGGAGGGGATCCCACGGCGGCTGGCTTCTCCTGGGGCCCCACCCGCTGGGCTCCCATGCACCCCCCACCTCTACCTGGATGACAGCCCTGTGTGCCCGCCTGGTTCCACCCTCCCCTGCCGGGCACACCCACCCAGGCCCCGGGGCCCACCATGCACCCCCGCGGGGGGCAGGAGGTCTGCAGAGCAGTGATCCGGGGCGAGCTGTGGAAGTGACTGCAGCCCCAAGTGACACCAGGCGCCATGGCAGACCCCGCTCCCTGGGGAGGGGCTGGCCAGGGGCCTGTCCATGGACCCTGACGCCCCCCACTCTCCAAACTGCAGGGTGCCCCGAGTGTGATGCCGGGGGTCACCTTGGTCCGCTTACTTTTCCCAGTTTTGCACATGGACCCCTAGCCTGGTTTGGACCCCCTCCTCTCCACCCACCCTGCCCAGCTTCCTTCTCCTGCCCGACTCTCACCTGGGTCCCAGGAAAACCCCTCTGTCCACCAGCCTTGGGGAGGCAGGACTTCCCCCTATCCTGCACCCTCTGCCTGCAGAAAGCAGGTGGGCTGTGCAAGCTGTGGACTGCGGGGCACTAGTGGGGGTGGGCACACGTGGCCGGCTGGAGCATGCCTGCCCCACCCCCCAAACCCCTCCCTCCAGGACGTCCAGTGGACGGACTCACCCCTCTGATGCAGGATCCACCTGAGGGCTGCGAGCCAGCCTCTGCCAGCGGCTTTGTGACTGTGAGGGGCCAAGAGCCCGGCAGAAGAGGGGCTGGGGGTGGGCAGGGGCATCGAGCCGGGCCAGCGGAGGGGCCTCCTCCCTGCCCCAGGACCTTTTGGGCTCCTCCCTGCCCCTAGGGAAGGCGAGCTGGGACCCCGCGGTGCTGGACACGGCTGACCGCGAGTGACTGCCCGGGGAGCTGCTGGCCTTCTGCTCTGGTCAGTCTCAGGAACCTTTGGCTGTCCTCCCGAAGCCAGGGGTTAAAAGACCCTCTGGGCTCCTTGTGGGCAGAGCCCCAGGTCACTGGGCCCAGAGCCACTGCAGGAGGTCATAAGCCACACCTAGAGGGCCAACGGGCTGGACGGTTCTGTCAGGGCAGCAGCTCCTGACGCCCAGGGGCCTCAGAAGACCAGCGGCATCGTGACCCCCGGGAGCAGGCTTGAGAGGCAGGGACTCACGGCCACGCTTCTGAAGGAGGCCACCCACGGGGGGACGGTGTGGGGGAAGGAGGGCACTCTGACCCTCATGTGGGGCTGCCTGGGGCCCCCACCATTCACGGTGCGCCCTGGCCTGTTCCCAGCTCTGAGCGCCTTGGTTTTCTCCCCAGTAAGTGGGGGTGAGAGGGACGGCTCTGGCCGCACCAGGAGGCAAGGATTTCTGCAAATGGTCCACGGCAGGGCCTGGCACAGAGAATGCCAAAAGATGCCAGGCCTTCAGCAGATGCCACGGGCTCTGTGCCACCCTCCCCCAGGGATGGGGTCACCTGAGTGAGCGTCCTGTTATCATGCGAGGCGGTGACCAGGTGCCTTGGAGGCTCACTGTGCCCTCCGGCACACAGACCGCTGTCCGACTTGCCGCGAGGGCAGTGTAGACCTGACCTGGCTCTGGTCCAGCCTCGGGGCCTGCACTGTGTCCCTTGGGGGCGTGTGTGCTGGGAGGATGAGGGGCACACAGGCCTGGGCAGCCCCCAGCCCACCTCACCCACTCAGCCCTAGCCAGAGCGCCCAGCTGCGCCCAGGCCTCACCAGCACTAAGCCCCCACCACCCCATGCTTCTCAGGGACCCGGGACCCCAGGAGCCCACTGGACACCCAGCACCTGGAGTCGGGGGGTTAGCCCCAGGGGCGGCCCCAACCCGTAAGATACAAGACCCTGATCAGCGCTTCCTCTGGTCTCAGGTCTCAGGAGCCCCGGGGGGGCAGCAGGCTGAGGTCTTGGGATCTGGGCGGGCAGCAGGTCATCCCTGTTCCAGCTTCGCCCCTTCAGTTCACAGCTCCACCCAGACGCCCGCCTCTGCCCCCGGGACCATGTCCCGGAAAGGGCGCGCTGGCCACGCCCACTGCAGGATGGTGCTGGCGGGGCTCTTGGTGTGGGAGAGGCCCTCAGGAACTCTCGGTACCCTGGCAGGAGGAGGGGGCAGCTTCGTCCGGCGTCTCCCGTCGCTCACAGGTGGGGACCGGGGGCCTCTGTGCCCAGGGCCTTTACTCCCAGCCAACCAGGGCCTCACCTACAGCCTGTACACCAGTCCTCCACCGCCACGGAGCTGAGGCCCTGAGGCCTTCTTGGGGAGCATCTCCAGGAGGACGGCCCTGGTGCCCAGGGGGCTTGGAGGCCTGGGGACACAGCCTGTCCAGCGCGGGTGCGTCAAAGGCCCCCGTCACAGCTCACATCTAATGTGGACGCTTCTCCTTCTCTGAGTCCTGGGAGCTTGGGGCACGGCGTCCGTGCCCCCGTCCTGGCCCCGCGGTCCCTAGGCTCCTATGAGAAGGGGAGCTCTTCCAGCACGGTCCAGCCCACCTTTCTGGCTCCATCAGGTTCTCTCCATGGCGAAGCGAGCTGGGCCAGCCCTAGACAGCTGCGGAGACTCCGGGTGTCCAGGGCCCAGAGCTCAGGGCTGCAGGCCAGCTGCCATCCTGTGTGCCGTCCCCGTGATCCTCCAGGAGGAAGCAGCTCAGAAAAGACCCTCCAGCGTCTGCTCCACCTCCAGGGCTGGAGTCCCCATTGCCCACCTGAGCCCTGAGTCCTGGCTCCCGGGCAGAGCCTGAGCTTGGCGCTGCGGGCCAGGTGGGGCCTGAGCTTGGCAGGATTGTTGTTTCTACAAATACAAATACAGGTCCAGGTAGACCAGAATCTCAAATAATCAATGAATACCTTTTAGTACTGGGGCTTCCTGTATTTTCCCAGGGTGGGCTATTGTAAGCTCCCACTGCCCAGCGTCCCTCCACTCCAGGCCAGGGTCCCCTGGGCTCAGGAGAAGGCTTCTCACGGAATGAACTGGGACCTGGCCAGAAATGCTCACAAATCCCCTAAAGGCAGGAAAGATTTTCAGGGAGAGTCACGTGGGCCTTTTAGGCATTTAACTTCCAAATCTCAGATGGGCTCTGCTCGCCTAGGATTCCAGTGGGCCTGGCGCCCCCTGCAGCCCACTCCAGGACGCGTTCTCCGCGGTGTCCAGCGTGGGATCCCTCAGAGCGCAGGGACAGTCCAGGTTCCAGCCTTCCTGCATCCCCGGTCCACGTCCACCTGGACGTAGTTTTCGGCAGTGTCCACCTTGAGTGGGCCTTTCCAAGGCAACTGAGTCCTCAATCCCCTAACTCTGTTCCCGTGCATTAGATGTCACGTTGAATTACAAATCCTTTTCCTAGAAGGACCAGTACAAGCAGAGGCTGTGGGCGCGGGAACAAACAGGTGAGGGTGAGCGGTGCCCCTCCCCCTTGCAGGAGCGGGGCGTGCGCTTCCGAAGGAGCCCTGGGGCGGCGTGCGGGCGGCACGGGGACCGCCAGGTGAGTGGCCGGCAGGACCCGGCTCCCACGCTGACCAGGTGAGCCCCGCCTGGCCCCGACCCCCCAGTGCTGAGGCAGCGGGCACACTCCTGTGGTCCCCGGAGGCGGGCTGTCCACAGGGGCCCTGCGAGCCACGAGTAGCCAGGACTGAGACTCCCCGAAGCAGATCAAGACCTCGATTGGGGCGGGGGCGTCTTGACCACCTGAGCTGAGGGTGGTCCTGGGAGGGGCTCGGGGAGGAGGAGCCTCCAGGAAGCGAGGGCAGGAAGGCCGTGTCCGGGGAACTTGTGGCTTTAGGGCTTCATAATGAACCAGGGTCTGGCTTGTGTGGGGACAGCTGAAAGGGCCGTGACCCGGGCACCCTCGGTCCTTCCCGAGACCCCGGTGGGCGGCCGCGCTTGATGTGCCTGAGTCGGGCGGCAGGGGGCGCCCGAGACCGCCTGATGGCAGCGACCGGACCGCCTCACCTGGTGCAGGTGAGGCGGGGAGGAGGAAGGCTCCCAGGTGAGACCCCTGAGCCCCGCACCCCTCACCCCTTTCTCTCTGCCCAGTGAGCCCAGGAGGCAGACGGGCGGCTTCTGTCCACTTCCTCCAGGAGGGCCTGCAGCCAGAGCTGCTTCTCAAAGCGGGCGGGTGTGGCGGGGGGGGGCGGACTTCAGAGGGTCCTGTGCGGGGCGGGGGCGGATGTAGGCAACCGGGCTCCAGAGATTTCGCTGCCGCGACCTGGGCCCTATCCCTGACCGATGACACTAGCGTCCACCCCAGGAGAATGGGGGCTGGAAATGCCGCCTAGTTACAAGTCTGCAGGTGGTCCCCGTGTGTCCCAGGGTCAAGGACTTCTTTGGACAGCAGCTCTCAAAGCCTGGCCCTGGACCTGCTCGGACCCCTGGTGAAGTAGTTGAGGTGCAGAGTCCTGGGCCCACCCCTGAACTCTAGAATCAGAACTGTGAGAGGCAGGGCCCGGGAAGGCGCATTCTGCCACGTCCCCTTGGCGATTCTGACACTGTCCATGTGGACAGCCTGCTCGGCCTCCCTCCCTATGAGTGCTCTGGAGCCCTAGCACGGACACCTCCTGGGGAGTCCCGGGCTCCGGGCCCCGTGCCCCCAATGGTTGAATCACAGCTGCCTTCTGTTCTGTCAGGGTCCCGGGCCGTGTGAGAACCAGGGCTCTGGTCCCACCGAACATGAGCCGAACACGGCTGGGTGGGCACAGCCCCCACGGGGGTCACTGTGGGAGGGCTGCCCCGTGAGGGGGCAGAGGAGCGGGCCCCAGTGGGGCTCTGCAGAGGCGGTCCTCCAGGTGCGACCCTCCAGGTGGGTCCAGGAGGGCCTGCGTGCAGGCCAGCAGGGGAGTAGCTTGAAGAACTCAGGAGGTGAGAAAAGGTGTGGGGAGGACCTGGGGGTGCTGATGGGGGACCTGGACGGTTGACCAGGCCAGAAGGTCAGAGTGCTGAGCAACAGGGAGCGATTGGCGGTGGGTTTTTTTTTTTTAAGATGTTTTCCCCTTTATAAAAGTAAACGAATGTATAGTTATCAAAGGGGACAGAGTGGAAGAGGGATAAACTAAGCGTTTGGGATGAACATGTGCACACTGCTATATATACAATGGACAATCAAGGAGGACCTACTATATAGCGCAAGGGATTCCGCAATAACCAGACGGGAAAAGAATCTGGAAAAGACAAACGCACGGCTGACTCACGCTGCCGTGCACCTGAACTAACACAGCATTGTAAACCAACTGTGCTGCTGTTGTTTAGTCGCCAAGCCACGTCTGACTCTGTGAGACCCCAGGGCTGTAGCCCACCAGGCTCCTCTGTCCATGGGATCCTCCAGGCAAGAAGACTGGAGCAGGTTGCCATTTCCTTCTCCAGGGCATCTTCCTGACTCAGGGATGGAACCAATCTTCTGCACTGGCAGGTGGATTCTTTACCACTGAGCCACCAGTCAGCGATACCCCAATATAAAATAAAAATTAAATTAAAAATAATAAATTAAGGAATATATTATACCCAGAAAGAAGAAAAAGCATACATACCCATAGCTCCCAACATCATCACTGCTCATTGATTGTAGACTTTTTCTACATTGAGTGTTTTCGTTAAGTAAACAGTTGTAAAATAAGTACTGGTAACTTTATTTCTTTTTTTCCTAATATCATAGGGACATTCGCACATTGTCTTCACACATGAAATTGTTCATGTTCCCACCAGAACCTTGGCCTTCTCTGCTCACTGAAGCCAAATAAGAAATACAGAGACAGAGTTTGGAGGAACTAGAAAGGTGATCTTACTCTCAGCCAGCACAGAGGGGGACACAGGAGGTTCACGGCTCAAGAACTGTGCCCGCCCCCACCCCACCCGTGAGGAGCCTAGGGGCTTGTGTAAGTCAAGGGCTCAGGGTCAGGGGGCGGTGATAAGGACAAAGGGGTAGGGTCTTGATTCCTTTCTTGTTTCAGAGACAGTCATAAACCGGCGCCAGTCACCCAGGAACCGACCCCGGCAGTTGGGCGGCTCTGCCGCTGCCTCTCTGACGTCTGACTACAAGGGGAAGTGTGTTGTGAGGGTGGACACCAGATAGGGGATGCATTTAGCATAGGGTCCAAGGGGAAATGGGACTTGTAGCTCCTGCAGCGTTAGGGGGTAGAAAACAAACTTAGTTACAGACACACAGCATTAGGAGCCCTTGAAACAGGAAGACTAGGGATGCTCAGGCCTGCTCACTGTGCTCTTCATCTTCGTTGTTCTTAGGAAGGAGAAAGAGAAAGCTCATTCCCCTCTTTCCTCTTCACTACAACGTTAGCGATGGACAACATGCGGTGATGATGGCGGCCAGGCGGGCTGGTCCTTGCTCCCTGCCCGTCATCCAGCTCTGCCTCCCCCATGAACATTGGGGTCTCAGGCCCACTGAGATGCTGGGCCTTGAAGGCACAGAGGTGAGAGCCACACAGAGACTGCTCCCCACTCTCCTTCCAGACTCCACTTCCTCGGCTTCCTCCTACACACACACTCCACAGAAATCCTGTTCCTACATACCTCCCCCCACCCCGCCATCCCATTAGGCTACTAGTGGCCCTGTCGGTGGAGTAGTGGAGCTAGGAGAGCATCGCAGGGGACCAGACGGGTCAGGACGGTCTCGGGAGCTGGCTCTCTGGTCTGACGTCAGGGGCCTCCATCAACCACGGTGCCAAGTGCAAAGTCAAGTCCCAGAGCCAAGAGCCTGCAGGAGGTGCCGGTGACCCCAAGGTGTAGGAGGCCAGGAGGTGCAGGGGACCCCGAGGTGCAGGGGACCCCGAGGTGCAGGAGGTGCAGGGGACCCCGAGGTGCAGGGGACCCCGAGGTGCAGGGGACCAGGTGGCTTCTGCCCTTTAGTGAGGCTGTGGAGTAAGGACTGGGCTTGGCAGCTTCTAGATGTGCTGGAGAATGTGGGAAAAGAAAACAGTGAGCTCAGAGCTTAAATTTCCAGCCCAGGAGACAAAGAACCAGGAAACTATGCCGTGCAGAAAAGAGTTAACAGGCAGGCCCACCTGCCCCCTCGAGAGAGCTGAGAGAGTCTCCGACCTGCTCAGGAGGGCTGCCCTCGAGGCTGGCCCTGGGCTGGAGCTCCAGGGAGGGTCCTTGGGAAGGGCCTCGCTGCCTCTAAACGTCTGTGCCGAGTGAGGCTCCTGCCAGCAGAGCACCTCCTCTGGGGTTCTGGAACCTTCCCCAGGCACAGGTGCCTGTGACTCTCACCCCCAGCAAAAGCCCCGGGGTGCTGTGTGTCTACTGGGCTCCGGGGAGGACAGCACCTGCTGGCTGGTGGCGGGGGGAGCTTGGCATGTTGTGTGTGAGGAGGTGCTCTGGAAGCTCATGCCTGGTCCCCAACCTGTCCCCGCCTGCCTCTTCCTTTCATTGATGTTGCTTTGCATCCTTTCTTTGTCCTGAATTTCTGCTGAGTCCTTGGGCACCCCGCCTCCGGCTAGCCAACAAGGGGGTGGTCCTGGGGACCCAGATACAGTCACAGAGTGCCCAGTTGAAGACCCCAGCACAGCTGCGTTAAGAGAATTCCTCTCCTGTAGGCACAACAAAATCCAGATTTCTAAGAACAAAACCCAGGGTCTGGTCTGGAGTTTGGCCTCATGGCAGGAAGGTTGAGCAGACCACCTCTTCTGGTGAAGCTGGGACTGGAACCCCTAAACTCTGCCGGGTCTTCTTTGCCAGAAGACACCCCGTTGCAGAGAAGAGGCCAATTCTGACTCCACGTTGGGAATTTTTGACTTGCTTTCCGTCGCTTTTGTGATTATGATTATACAGAACGGCCTGCCTCGGAGAATCCTGCTGCTTCGCTTGACTGTAAACCAAAGTGCCTTTGTTCAGAACCCGGTCCACCAGTAGATGACAGGAAGGAAGAAATCAACACATCCCCTGCCTGAGGCTTGCCATTCTAGGAGAAGTTTGCAAGATTGATGGCCTTTTTACTTTGCTTCTCACCTCCCCCCATCTCTGACCTACAAAAGAACCTGACATCCAGACCCCCAAAAGATGGTTATTTTGAGGGGCTAACCTGCCGTCTTCTTGGTCAGCTGGCTTTCAGAATAAAGTTGTTTTCCTTGCCTCAACACCTGTCTCTCGGCCAGCAGAGTGAGTGTGGACTTGGTAACAATCATTCCTCCCTGTCTGGGGAGTGGTACCCCATGCCTGGGGAACCTGTGATGGTCACCCCCTGAGTAGCTGTCTTGCCTGGAGACACTCCATCACTGCAGGGACGCTGGAGGGCACCGGTCTGGAGACACCCTCCCTTCCTGCCGTCTCAGCTCAACGGCGACCTGTGGGCAGGGGCTGCTGGTGGCTCCCCAAGGGTCCCGTCCTGCCTGCCTGTCCCTGGGGCAGCCCTGTGACCGCTCTGTTCCTGCAACCCCGTCAGACTTAGGCCGTCTCTCTCCTGGTAGAAAGGAAGCAGTTTATTTTGGGAATCGATGTTGAATTCAGTCCTAAAAAATCTTAGTTCTGTGCAAAGACAACTTTCTCCCATTTGATCTCTGGACCAGACTCCCAGAGTGGATGGACTCCTGGCAGTCTGCCAGAGTCACAGGCGCCCTCAGTCCTCTGGGTGGGGATGAAATAGTTTGAGGGTTCACAGAGCTGACGTCTCGCCCCTGGCCCTTTATAAGGAGGAGTCTGAGCGCCTGCGGCAGGCGCCCCTCGGGCTGCAGGGCCGGGCAAGAGCAGCTGCAAGGTAACTACCAGGAGGGCAGACACCCGGGTCCATCCTTAAGTAGTTCAGAGAGATAAGGCCACCCGATTCTGAATCGTGGGTTTAGCCCCAGAAGGACGAGGCCACTGACATCGAAGTTGCCATGAGAACACTGAGAACGTGTCTTGTTACCGGAGCTGTTTTCCTGGGAGGTGCCCGCCTGGGGGTGGCAGGGAGAAGCGGGGGTCCGGGGGTGGCGGGGGGGGGGAGTGTGGGTTTGGGGGTGGCGGGGGGAAGCGGGGGTCCGGGGGTGGCGGGGGGGGAGTGTGGGTTTGGGGGTGGTGGGGGAAGTGGGGGTCCGGGCGTGGCGGGGGGAGGCGGGGGTCTGGGCGTGGCGGGGGGGAAGCGGGGGTCCGGGGGTGGCGGGGGGGAAGCGTGGGTTTGGGGGTGGTGGGGGGAAGTGGGGGTCTGGGCGTGGCGGGGGGAAGCATGGGTTTGGGGGTGGTGGGGGGAAGTGGGGGGTGAGGGGGTGGCAGGGCAAAGTGGGGGCCCTGGTGTGGCGCGGGGAAGCGGGGGTCCGGGGGTGGCGTGGGGGGGGAGTGTGGGTTTGGGGGTGGCGGGGGGAAGCGGGGGTCCGGGGGTGGCGGCGGGGGGAGTGTGGGTTTGGGGGTGGCGGGGGGAAGCGGGGGTCCGGGGGTGGCGGCGGGGGGAGTGTGGGTTTGGGGGTGGCGGGGGGAAGCGGGGGTCCGGGGGTGGCGAGGGGAAGTGGGGGGTGAGGGGGTGGCAGGGCAAAGTGGGGGGCCTGGGTGTGGCGGGGCGAAGCGGGGGTCCGGGGGTGGCGAGGGGGGGAGTGTGGGTTTGGGGATGGCAGGGGGAAGCGGGGGTCCAGGGGTGGCGGGGGGGAAGCGTGGGTTTGGGGGTGGTGGGGGGAAGTGGGGGTCCGGGCGTGGCAGGGGGAGGCGGGGGTCCGGGCATGGCGGGGGGAAGCGGGGGTCCAGGGGTGGTGGGGGGAAGCATGGGTTTGGGGGTGGTGGGGGGAAGCGGGGGGTGAGGGGGTGGCAGGGCAAAGTGGGGGCCCGGGCGTGGTGGGGGGAGGCGGGGGTGAGGGGGTGGCAGGGCAAAGTGGGGGCCCGGGTGTGGCGGGGGGAGGCGGGGGTCCGAGCGTGGCGGGGGGAAAGCGTGGGTTTGGGGGTGGCGGGGGAAAGCGGGGGTCCAGGGGTGCCGGGGGAGGCGGGGGTCTGGGGCCTGGGTGGTCTCACCGGTCTGGCTGCCTCTGGCCGCAGGTGGACCTGAGCACATCGGTTGCTGGGGAAGATGCCGGCCTGCCTGCTGCCCGGGCTGGCGCTCTGTTTCCTGCTGGCGCCTCTGGCAGGTGCGGGCCGCCTGACATCCTGAGCTGTCCCGGTGGGCGGTGGGGTCCCGCCTGGGGGCCTCAGGGTGACTGCTCTCCCTTCCCTCGCAGGGGCCAAGCCGGTGCAGGAGGAGGGAGGTACCGTACCGCTCTGGTCTCTGGTCTCCTGGGTGGTGTGGGTCCTGTTTCTGGTCTGGGTGTCTGGTCCCAGCAGATGGGGGGCCTGGTAGGAGTTGGCCTCTGGCCCAAGCTGCTGAAGCAGAAGCCCTGGGTTGGCTGGAGGTCGAGCCCCACGTGGAGAGGGACTGGAGCCTCTTCCCTGGGGACACACGGCGCAGGAGGGACCCCTGCGGCCCCCAGGACCGGGCACTCCCACCTCAGACTCCCCATCTCGGGGCAGAGCGTCCGGATTCCAGGCCTGGGGGCCAGGGTCTCCTCTGGGTTCCCCCCTCGGATGCCCCCACATCCCACCACGGTGTTTCCACCCAGCTCATGACGATGGGGCCAGACCCCCCCTCCCCTGGCCCTGCTCCCCTCCTCTGCCCCCAGCCAGGGGCTCTGAGGGGCGGGGCCGAGTCAGCCCGCTCCCCGGATGATCAGGGGCTGCGCCCCGGGCGCCGTGGGCTGGCCCAGCTCCTGAGCCACGTGCCTCCCTCCAGACCCCTACGCCGAGCTGCCGGCCATGCCCTACTGGCCTTTCTCCACGTCTGACTTCTGGAACTACGTGCAGCACTTCCAGGCCCTGGGAGCCTACCCCCAGCTGGAAGACATGGCCCGCACCTTCTTCGCCCACTTCCCCCTGGGGTCCACCCTGGGCTTCCACGTCCCCTACAGGGAGGAGTGAGCAGGCGGGCCAGGGCCCCCTACCCACGGGAGCTGGGCGGCCTCGGCCTTAATAAACTCCTGACTCGAATGCACCATGCCTGCCACCGTTCTCAGTTTTCTTTGGAGAAGCAGCTCTGCTCAGCCCCTCTTCCTCTGGCTTGATGAAACAGCCTGGCCCCTCTTGACCGTCAGGGAGCTCAGACAATATGCTCTGTCCACTGAGCACCAGCTGCAATTCTCCCCCATCCTCATGCTGAACCTAGGAGGGGCCCTGGGATGCAGGTGGGGAAACTGAGGCACACAGACACCAGGCAACTGCTTGACTTGTTGACAGAACCCAGATCCTGTCCAGGCAGGCTTGCCCTAGGGCCCCCGCCTTTGGCCACCAGGCTGGGCAGTGAGCGGACCTGCAGTGGTCATCCTGGGCTGGAGGCCTATCCCAGCCACCACTGGTCACGCTGAGCTCACCCTGGGGCAGCTTGTCTTTCAGGGTCTCCAGGGGCTTGGGCACTGGGTCTGCAAGCTGAAGGCCCCAGACTGTGACTGCCAGCGCTGCAGGCTCAGGGACTCGGGGGTGGGCTGCCCATCCTGGGCACTGAGGAGCGGACGGCCTCACAGACCGCACGGACAGGGCATCAGGGGCTGTCCTCCCGCCCGGGATAGCTGCTCTGTGGCGGGGACCCCACCGCCCAGGTGCAAGAGCTGCAGGTCACACTTGCTCAGACAGTGAAGAAATTGGTTTCATGGGCTGCAACTAGCTTTTCTTTTACAGCAAAATAACAGAAAGTGCTTACCATTTAACTTTTTTGCTGTTATTCAGTTGCTAAGTCATGTCTGGCTCTTTTGCGACCCCATGGACTGCAGCCCGCCAGACTCCTCTGTCCATGGGATTTCCCAGGCAAAAATACTGCAGTGGGTTGCCATTTCCTTCTCCAGGGGATCTTCCCAACCCAGGAACTGAACCTGCAGATTGTTTACCCTTGAGCCACCTGGGAAGCCCATTTAACTTTAGATACTAGTTTTTGTGCTAGCATTTAACCACAGAAACTAGCACATGTAATAAGCATTGTGTAAGGTCTCGTGAAACTTACGTGCTGTACCTTATGTTCGGTGGAAATATGTGATGGAAATGAATTTATCCGTGTGCAGTTTCAAGGTCTGCCCTTTAGTGTATGAACCGGGAAGTTCACTCTGAGAGCTGCCTCCCCGCCTCTGGCTCAGACACCAGGCCAGGTGGGGAAGGGCCCCAGAAGGGTGAGGGGGGAGGTGGCCGTGGTGTCCAGGCGGCAGTCTCGGGAGCCACCCACTGGCTCCAGGTATGCAGCAAGGCTTCTTGCCTTTCCCTCTGCTCCACCTCCTGTGGTCAATGGGCAGCTTCCCTTCCGTGCCCCAGCTTAAATTCTCAAGAGAAAGATCTGTTGGCCTAGCCAGTCGATTTGGGAGAAGCCAAATACATGCTTTGTTTCTTTTCTCCCCTGAGCTAGTTTGAGTTTGGTTTCTGTAAGTTAACTGCTGCTGCTGCTAAGTCACATCAGTCATGTCCGAGTCTGTGCGACCCCATAGACGGCAGCCCAACAGGCTCCTCTGTCCCTGGGGTTCTCCAGGGAAGAACACTGGAGTGGGTTGCCATTTCCTTCTCCAATGCATGAAAGTGAAAAGTGAAAGTGAAGTTGCTCAGTCGTGTCCGACTCTTGGTGACCCCACGGACTGTAGCCCACCAGGCTCCTCCATCCATGGGATTCTCCAGGCAGGAGTACTGGAGTGGGTTGTCATTGCCTTCTCCGGGGTAAGTTAACTACAGACACAAAAATTCCTGGCTCCTGTGACAGCCCACCTGTGGCAACTGGGCCTCAACCAAACACACCAGACAAAAGGCACCTTTGCCCCTCTGGACAGCAGTCTTCCCATGGCACTGACCTGTGTGTTATTTCATAAATGTGTGCGTGTGTGTGCGTGGCCATTTACATGCCACTAGGATGGTTGTGCTCCCAGTCATGCCGAGCACTGGAGAGTGAAGGCCCCAGATGCCCCCGTAGGCTGCTCCAAGGACCCCACCCCACGTGCCTCCAAAGGAAGGTCCTGGGGTGCCCTGGCTGGAGCTGTGTCCCCTCTCGGACACACGCACAGTTGCTCCGGACACACAGCTGCAATGCACGTCTTCAAGGCCTAGCTGCCCTCCTCCTGTTCTCAGAAGAAACCCCCATAACCAAGCCACCCTCGGCAGACACCCTGCCTGCCTGCCTGCGGCCCAGGAGCAGCTCACTCCCCGCTTAGGACTCAGACTTGGCTGTGACCCTCCCCGTTCACCTGAGCACACACACAGCTTCATTTCTCCTCTGTGCACCCCTCTAGTCTCCCCCTACAGTCAGACACCCCACTTCCCGCCCCACAGCCCGCTTCACCGACAAGCACCACCCACGGCCACTGTCTTCTCGTCCCTGCCTCGGTTGATGATGGCTGGGGGACCACACGCCCACTGTGCCCAGCAGCCGGTGCCCATGCTGACTGAGAAAGATGCATAACATAAAAGTTGAGAACTGTGTTTTATTTGGCAGACATGTTGCTGTTGTTCAGCTGCTAAGTTGTGTCTGACCCTTTGCAACCCCATGGACTGCAGCACACCAGGCTCCCGTGTCCTTCACTATCTCCCAGAGTTTGCTCAGATTTATGTCCATTAAGTCAGTGATGTTATCTAACCATCTCGTCCTCTACCACCTGCTTCTTTTACCTTCAATCTTTTCCAGCCTTATGGTCTTATCCAATGTGTCGGTTCTTCACATCAGGTGGCCAAAGTCTTGGAACTTCAGCTTCAGATTCAGTGCTTCTAGTGAATATTCAGGGTCAATTTCCTTCAGGATTGACTGGTGGGATCTCCTTGCTGTCCAAGGGTCTCTTAAGAGTCGTCTCCAACACCACAGTTCGAAAGCAGCAATTCTTGGGTGTTCAGCCTTCTTTATGGTCCAACTCTCACATCCATACATGACTACTGGAAAAAATCATAGCTTTGACTAGATGGACCTTTATCAACAAGTGATGTCTCTGCTTTTTAAAACGCTGTCTAGGTTTGTCATAGCTTTCCTTCCAAGGAAAAAGCACCTTTTAATATCATAGCTCCAGTCACAGTCCATAGTGATCTTGGAACTCAAGAAAATAAAATCTGTCATTGCTTCCACTTTTTCCCTGTCTATGTAAACAAAAGGATGGGACTGGATGCCACAATCTTAGTATGGCAGACATACTGACACCTTAAGCTGGGGACAGCCTCTCAGATCACTTTGACGGGCTGTCCTGAAGAGGTAAGGGAGGAGCCAGAATATATAGGAGTTTTTACCAAAGAAGATTAGGTAGCTGGAACATGAAAAAGAGTACTGCTCATTAAAGAAAACCGGACATCTCCAGTTAGTGAATTTGGTGCTTCTCTATGTTTGGGAAGATACAAGAATCTGGGCTTATTGAATCCATTGCTCTGACATGCACCTCAGCTGTTTGGGGCCAGCATCCTGCCTTTCTTCCTTCTGAATCCCCTCTGGGTGCAGGGTCGGGGGCAGCTGCAGAGGCTGATGGCCCGATGGCCTCACGTTGTTTATTTACCAATATAACACCGCATTCTTCGTCCACACCTTTGTCCTGGTGCACTCACGAATAGGCCCCTTTGACTCTCAAAGGATATGGGCTGAATGTGATCACCAGCAGCAATCCCCAGCCCCCGTGCCCTTGGTGTCCCCCAGCCTGCCCCTGTCCCTGCTCCACCTCTGCGACATCACCGCTCAGGAGGGGAGCCTGTTGGTGCCACGGACCCCAGCGTCCCTGGTCTGACTTTCACTCAGGAACTTGAGGTGACTCGTGTCGCAGTGACACTGGAGGCTCACCCACACGTCCAGTCGCTTCTCCCTTCTCCCTGCTCCACCCACGCCCAGCCCAGGCAACAGTCCCAGCTCGATCTCTGTTCAGTTCCTGTCTCCCTGGAGCCACCCTCCCCTCCCCCACCCCCACTCTTGGCAGCCCAGCCCCCCAAGCCCACCCACTTCTAAAACTGTCACTCAAACATCTCCAGCTCTCCTTCCCTACCCTCTTGCCCCTCCCTCTTGCCCTCCCTTCTCATTCACATTCTTTTTAAAAAAACTTATGACAAAATAAAGATAACATAAGATTTATTATCTTAGCTCTTTTTGAAAGGCAGTAAGTGCATTCACACTGTTATGCAACAGTCCTCATCCTCCACCTCCAGACTAGCTCCTCTTCCCAAACTGAAACTCTGTCCTCAATAAACACTAATTCCTCTTCCCGTAGCCCTGTCCTATTTTCTGTCTCTATTAATTTGATTACTCTACAAACCTTATATAAGTGGAATCATATATTTGCTTTTTGGTGATTTCACTGAGCATGGTGCCCTCAAGGTTCTTCTGCATGGCAGATGCAGTAAGAATTTCCTTCCTTTTAAAGGCTGAATAATAGTCCATTGCATGGATGCACCGCATTTTGCTCATTCAACTGTTGATTCATACCTATTTGAGTTGCTTGCACATTTTAGCCATCGTGAAGAACCACATTTTAACCATTGTGATAAATGTTGCTGTGAACATAGATGTACAAATACTATCTCTTTGAGATCCTGCATTCAGTTCTTCTGGATATATGCCCAGAAGTGGAATTGCTGGACCATATGGCAAATCTGGCTTCCCCGGTGGTGCTAGTGGTCAAGAACCTGCCTGCCAATACCAGAGATGTAAGAGATTTGGTTTTGATCCCCAGGTTGGGAAGATCCCCTGGAGGAGGGCATGGCAACCTACTCCAGAATTTTTGCCTGGAGAATCCCATGGACTGAGGAGCCTGGTGGGCTAATGCTTGGCAAATCTGTTTAATCTCTGAGGAACCTCCATACTGTTTCCAAGAACAGCTGCACCATTTTACCTCCCAACCAGCAGAGCACAGGGGTTCCCATTTCCCCACATTCCCCCAACACTTGTTATTTTCTGGGGTGCTGATAGCAGCCATCTCGATGGTGTGAGGTGGTATCTCATTATGGTTTGGTTTGCATTTTGCTGATGAACAGTGACGCCGAGCATCTTTTCATGGGTTTACCGATCATTTATAAACCTGTTTTGGAGAAATGTTTATTTGAGACCTTTGCTGATTTTTTAATGGGCCACTTTGCTTTTTGTTGCTGCATTTTAGGAGGTCTCTGTACATTCTGGATATTAACCTTTTATCAGATACACAGTTTGCAAATATTTTCTCCATTCTCTGATTGCCCTTCACTCTGCTCACCACTCGCATTTTTAATGGGTAATTTCTTGGGCACCTATCTGTGCCAGTCCATTAGGGCCAAACTGTCTGCGTCACCGTGAAGTCATCAAGCAGCTTCCCTTACGTGCTGACAGGGAGCCAAAACCCTGTCCACCCCAGGCCAGACCAGGACTGTCCTCCCCCAACCGGCCCTAGTCAAGACGAATGCAGGAGGAGACCATAGAGTTGAAGGTCTTCCGGAGTCTAGACTCGCCAAATGGTGGTGGTGGTGTTGAGGAGGGCGGGGGGGGGGGGGGGGGGGGGAACCATAGAGTTGGCCGCCCTCCAGCGTCTAGACTTGCCAAGACGGGGCACGCACCGGAAGAGGCAGTCAGCGGGCCGGAAGTGAGCCGGGGACGCCGGGACTGCGTGAGAACATGAAGCCGGCCGTGGACGAGATGTTTCCCGAGGGCGCCGGGCCGTATGTGGACTTGGACGAGGTGAGGCGGGCCGCGCCGAGCCGGGCGGGAACGGCTCCACGGCCGGCTCTCGGGCGCACTTTGGGGCCGCGCCGAGAGAAGGCAGCGGCCTGCAGGGCCGAGCGCTCGCCCTCCCCGCGGTGCCTGCCTTAGCGCTGGGCCCCTGGGAAGCCTATGGGCGGCGGCCGGGGCTGAGGTGAGCGTCGGTGCCCTCCGCCTGGAGGGCACCCCTGGGTGTGGGCCCCGCTGTGGAGGGCATGCTGCCGGGCGGCGGGAGCGAGCCTCGGTCTGGGAGGCGGGGAGGCGAGGGAAGCGGGCGCCCGCCGGGGAGCGGGGAGAGGGCCGTTTGAGGGGGCCGTGCGCAGCGCGGTGCCCGGTCCAGCGTTTCTGCCTCCACCGCTCCTGTGGGTTACAGGAGGTTCCTGTAGTGCTGGTGTTCCGTGGTCTCCAGGGTCAGGGCCTCCGTTTCTCTTTCTTAAGAGCCCGGGGCGGGGGGACAGCCCCAGCCTGCGTGCTCCTGGAGATAGCCACAGAGTCACTGCCAGCCCCAAGTGTATGCGGAGGTTGGCGGTGCAGCTTGATAGAAGCCCTCCCGGGGTGTAGGGGTGGCCCAGCAAAGCCTTCGGAGTGCAGCTGACTGCAGCCAGATGGCGGAGGCCGTGCTGGGTAGATGGGGACGGGGGAGGGCGTCTAAGGGAAGGCAAGGTCGTCTGGCTTAACGTGCGGGCCAGGCCTTTAGGCGCCTGAGAGAGAGCTCAGGGGATGGAGCCGGGAGATGGGGGGAGGTAGGGGCGCGGGCCCAGATCTTGAATTGCTTCCCGCTGTCCTGGGGTGGGCGGGCTCTCCATACCCCACTCCAGGAGGCTGTCGCCCCTGCACTCAACCTGCTTCTTAGCCCTCACTCCAGGCGCTGCCTTAGGCAGGTGTGGGGTCCCTTGAAGCCTCTCCTGTGGGGTGATGGGCTCTGCAGATGGGCAGAGAGAGTGGGGTGGTGTGAACCGAGGAACAGGAGACCGGAAGAGGTTCTGAATGAAGGCCAGGCCTCCAGGGAGGAAGGCTTCCAGTGGGGTGCAGGGTGGCGGGGGGATGCTAGCTAACTGAGGAGAGGAGGAGGCCTGTGAGAACCCTGGTTGCTGAGAGCAGCCGCCCACTGCTCTATGGGGAACTCAGGAGGTGCTCAGCTGTCTGAGCCAGAAGAGGTGGACAGACAGCCTGGGGGGTGTTGGGCTGGCAGGGGTGCCGCCCCCAGAGGCCTCTGCTCTAGTGTCCCCGTGTGACCTGAGAGACTCAAGAGTCCTCAAGACGCCACCCAGCTTTGATCCTGACCTTGTTTTACTGCCCGCGTTGAGGGGTGGCCCGTGATGACACCCCCACCAGAAGAAGCCCAGGTGAGCAGGTCAGTTTCTCAGGGGAAACTGCTTACTCCTCGGAAGAAGCAGGGGGCACTGAGAGCAGCGGGATCCCTGGGCTCAGTTGGGGCCTCTGTGGCCAGGCAGAGGACACAGTGGGGACAGCAGCCCCTGCCCGCGGTGTGTGCAGGAGAGCTGCCGTCCAGGCAGTTTACAGTCTCTGTAAACGGCACGGACGAGCCTCGGAACCCAAGACCCGAGGGACCTTCCTGTCATTCCTCCAAATGCTGCCTCCCTCACCCCTGCTCCAGCCACTTCCTTCCCTGGACTGAACTTGGTCCCTGACCTGGACACTTTCTGCCCAGCAGTGGTGTGGAGCCCGTGAGGCACTTACCCTTCATTCTCTCTGAAAACCCGGCTGACATAACCTTTCCTTCCCCCCCAGGCAGGAGGCAGCACTGGGCTCCTGATGGACTTGGCCGCCAATGAAAAGGCAGTTCACGCAGACTTCTTCAATGGTAAGGACGCCGGGATTGGCCTGCCAGTTTCAGCCTGTGTTTCTTCTGCAGGTTATGGGGTGGAGTGGCTTCGCGAGATGAGTGACGTGGGTCGTGGCCAGGTCCTCTGTCATTGTTGGACTGCGGTGCAGCTGTGGGAAATGGGCAGCCCTGGTTTTCAGGAGGGAGAGGTGCTCCCGTCCCACGTGCCAAGTGTGGAGTCTGAGCCTGAGACTGGGGCGACGTCCACCCGCCGGGCTCTCTCTGCACCCCTGACGATTGTGCTCCTGTCCGTTCGCCTGGGTGCTCGTCCTGGGTGCCTGTGCAGAGTGACAGCCACTCTCCTGCTCCCCCTGCCTCTTCTCTGAGACCAGCAGCTGTTGTGTTCGAGTTCAGTGCACGTTTGAGGAACATGGGTGGAGTTTTACGAAATAACAGTTAAAAAAGAACTTTATAGGAAGTCTTCATCCACATTTGAGGGGGTATTTCTCTTGTTGCCTTCTGATTTCTTAGGGTGTTTTTCCTACAGATTTGTTAATCCTTACCGAGGGTTAAATCGTAAGTAGAAACACAAGACCGCTTTCTCAGGAGAGTTTAGTGGTGTTTTCTCTCTCGTCCTTCTTTTATGCAGGGTGCCTGTCACTACAAAGGACTTTGGTCACTGGTCAGTGGCAGCTAGGATGTTATCTTGGCCCTGTTGGGTTTTGCTGGCCGTAGACCGCTCTCACACCCAAGCCCATTTTCTCTGTTCTGTCCAGGCCCCTGTTGGCTCAATAGAGAAGCCAGGCTGCTTCATGAGGACAGGAGGTGACATTTGGGCCCCCGGAACTGAGTAGCATTTCAGTTCTCTAGGGTAGCGGGTGTGTGGGGGCAAGGGATGCAGCGGTCTGAGCGTTCTCCGGAGCCACCTGTGAGCCTCACCTGGGCAGGGGTGTGTGCTCGCCAACCCGGTATGACCCAACCCCGCTCCTCCTGCCCGCCTGGGGGCTTGGAGGCAGTTGGCTGTATCTAGGGTTCACTTTCACGGATTCTCAGCAGCAGCCCTTTAGTTCTGACAGAAGCTTCTGCGGGAGGGACCCAGGCCGCCCTGCCTGATGAGCACAGGGGTGCTTGAGGGCCTTTCTCCTTCAGAGGCTGATTCTGGCAGAAAAGGGAAGGAGTTCAGGCACGCCACCCGGCCGGTTGTGACAGCCCCGGCGTGCGGGAGTCGCTTCCCTGCCAGGAAGCCCAGTGGCGTGTAGAGGGGCTTGTCCTGAGCCCTTTTCACTCACTGAACAGACGGTTTTGATGGTCTCTTGTCCCCCAGGCAGTGGGTTCTAGCCCTGAAGCGGGCCTGCTGTCCTCACTCATGTCTTAGAAAACAGCAGCGCCTGAGAGGGGGTGGGCCGGGACAGCTCGGGAACGGGAGCCTGATGGGCAGGCATAGTGCCTCCAGGGCGGGTCTCAGGAGGCGGCATCTGCACGGTCCGGGCTGCAGGACCCCAGGCCAGGCCAGGCCCCGAGAGGAGGCGGGTGCTGGGTGGACGGGTGGGGGCAGGGTCCTTGCACGTCCCCGGAAGCAGCCGTGTGGGGACTGGTGGCCCTCTTTCTGGTTCGTTTACTCTGCACCTCCGCGGTGTGCGGTACACGTGAGCGGGATTTTAGTGTTCTCCCCCTCACTGTGAAGGTAACACATGCCCATGGGGGAAGTTCAGAAGATTTACGCAGAAGGACACAGAAGGACACGATAACCTTGAACTAGGTTTTACCCCTTGCAGACGCAGTGCACCCTTCCAGTGGGAATGGGCTCGGGCTGTGATTTTTACGCTAACTATAGGTCTGACTTAACGGGAGCCTCTCACGGGCAATGAGTTCTCACAGCGCTCCTTCCCTCCACCACCTTCCTCCTGGCCACCCTGCATTTCCTCTCAGGTTGCGAGCCTCCGGGGGCTTCCGCCAGCCGCCCCTTCACCTCCACGCGGCGTCCACACGAGGGGGGCCCTGGCCGTGCTCACGGGTGCAGCGCTGCCCTCATGGTCCAGAGCCTGCCGCGTGTGTTCTCGAGGTCGCCGTCTGAATGGAAACAGACTGAAGATGCCCGCTGGATCACTGTCCTCTTGGGCTGCGTCAGCCCCAGTTGGGCAAAGCTGAGAGCCCGTCACCGGGAAGTCGTTGATCAGATTGTCTTCTGTTTTCTCTCTGGTTTGAACGACCACATAACCCCTTTATGTTATGTCCTCAGTTACTGACCTTGTGTGATCATCAATTTGTGGTTTTGTTCATTTTGTAGATTTTGAAGATCTCTTTGACGATGATGATATCCAGTGAGGTGTGTCCAGCGGTGCATTTGGTCAAGCTTCGCCACGTGGTGGTGTGGTGGGTCTCCTTAAAGGACAATTTCAGGTGGTTCCAGAGAACTTGTGGGAATTGCTAGAATTTAGGAGATGATTAGCCAAGAAAGAGAAGAAGGTTTTAACCATCTGGAGGAGGCCTGTTAAATTCTGAATGTGGCCAGCTTTTGTCCTTGACTTCAGTTAAAATAAAGTGATGTTATTACTTGCAGGATAACTTTGTTTCTTGCATTTTGAGTGAATATTGCGATCCCTGGACATCTCGTGCGTATGTATGCCGCTGTGTGTGTTGCATGCTAAGAGAAACAGGTCTCCACATAGAAACACACAGTGCGCTTTTTGCATTGTGACCTTGAGTGATTCTGACAGCTCACAGTTGCTGAGGTGGTGCTTGTGTGAGACCTTCTCCTGCCCCATGTCCTACCCCCATGGACCTCGTGTTCTCTGGCTCTGACGTCAGAGCAGCTGCTGCCCCCAGACCTGAGGCTTCAGGAAACAGGTAGCTTGGTAATGACTGAAGAAGACGCCGCCCACCTGAGAAATGCGTGCCTTGGTCCATTTCAGAGGGAGAGCCTAGCGTCTCTGGGGGCAGCTTCTTACTGGTCGAGCTCAGCAATTGATGATGGCTGTGAACACTCGGATCTCACATCAGTCTTGAGGAATGTATATTCGATCAGGAACACCCCGGGCACACGACTTGGTGGTTCCCACAGCCCTGAGCAGAGCAGAGCCACTTAGATGAGTCAGGCTATTCCCTCTCACTGTGAGAACCACCAAATGGAGCAGCTTGACGGCCTGGCTATGAAAGAGCCGTTTTTACTGAGAAACAGGTGAGATTTTAAACAGAGCAAAGCATCATCTCGTGAGTGCCAAGTGGGCTTCTGCTCTTCGCATGCCCCTCCAGGTGGAGCTCGGCCCCCAGGAGGGAGGACCAGTTGTCCAGAGCAGCTCAAGGGGCCCACATGAGGGCAGCATCCTGGGAAAGGCCAGGTTAGGAGGGCCTAGGGGCCCATCACGGGAGGCCCTACCCTGGGACCCGATGCTGCTTCCACATCAGACTCAATGGCAGGGCCTCCAGCAGGAGCCGCAGAGCTGGACTCCAGGGAGAGGCGTCTTGGGGCCTGTTCTTGAGGTCGCGTACCGGGCAGTCCAGCTTCCCAGGGGGCTCCTTGGAGCAGGCCTGGAAGGCTCTGTGGGGAAGGACTGGGTGTTTGGCCGTCAGCAGTGGCTGCGCTTCGGTCTGTGAGCCATGAGGGCTGTGCCCTTTCAGACCTCAGGATTGGGAAGGCCCTTTTGGATGAGGGGAGGTGCTCGGAGGAGGACCCTCGCTCGTGGCCATGGCAGGGACTGACTTGGAGGGTATTGTCTGCTAAGGTGGGGTGTCTGGATCCATGTTGAATTGCAGGTTTTTGGAAGTGAGAGCTCCTAATGCAGGGAGCCTGTCAGAACCACGTGAACAAGCACGTGGGTTATTGGGGCTGGGTTCTTGGGAATTTGGGTTTGGGGAGGAAGTTGGAGAAAGAGCTGTTTCGATGCTCTGAGCTGTGAAGACTAGAGGAGGCCTTTGGAGGAAACATCTGCTCTCCCTGCCCTTAGAGTTTTTGGTCTTCCTGGGTAGAGGGAAACCATTTGTCCCTCAGCCTCTGCCCTGGCCCCTTGTTTGAGTGGAAGGAGGCTTACGCGCTTTATCAGGGCTCAGGAGACCGCTGGGAGAGGAGGCTTACCGCCACACATGGGAGCTGCTGGGTTAGGGACACTTCCAAAGCAAGTGACACTCTCAGGAAGCAGCATTATTGACAGAAATTGACTCAATTTCAAGCAGAAATTGAGTTCTGCTTGATGTCAAAATGAGAAAAAGGTGCTGGAATGAAAAGCCCCTCTGTCCCTCAAGAGGCCAGCGGCCAGGACTCCTGCCCCTTGAGTTCCTGTCCTTGGAAACGCTGTCTTCTTGTCGCACACTTGACTTGCCCCAGGTCACCCAGCGTTTGGGGGGCAGAGGGGTGCCAGCCCTTGGTCAAGGGCTGCGTTCTCTCACTGAGACCAAAAACGAAGCCAGGAGACACTCAGCAGATTAGGAAGGAAGACAGGAAACCTGGGTCCCCAAGGGCTGATCTGTTAACTTGCTGACGCAGAGAACTTTTACAGACTGGCACGAAGGAGGCGCGCGCTGGGAACCGATACTCACTGAGACGCCAGTTCACAGAACCAACTCAGACGGCCATGGGCACTTAGAGGTGCTCAGGGTCACAGGAAGTCGGCGAAACATCCATTAAGCCATCAGGATGCCACTTTGCTTGCTGGAGGGCAAAGCCTTTGAGTGATGAGGGATGCCCATGCTGGTGGGGGTGGGACGGGACTCTGGGGTGTCGTGGTCTCTTTGGAAGAGATGCAGTGACGGTAATGAAGACTGGAGACCCGGCAGGACCCAGACATGATGTTGATTCTAGTGTTTTTCCTCCGGGAAACAATATGGAAACAGAATGAGTGATCACGGATGAGGAAGTGATGGTGCAGGCACACCTCGGGGAGCCCTACATCCCCTATAGTGTGGCCTTGGACCTGGAGGGGATTACATGGGTACCTGTGGGTGGGGAGCTGAGAGGCAGGAGCGGGGTTGTTACCTGGCACATTTATGCCTGTTCATCTGAGGTACAGACTCTTTTTTTCGGGCTCCAAAATCACTGCAGATGGTGACTGCAGCTGTGAGATTAAAAGATGCTTACTCTTTGGAAGGAAAGTTATGACCAATCTAGACAGCATATTAAAAATCAGAGATTTTTGCCATACATTGACATGAATCAGCCATGGATTTACATGTGTTCTCCATCCTGAACCCCCCTCCCACCTCCTTCCCCATCCCATCCCTCTGGGTCATCCCAGTGCACCAGCCCTGAGCACTTGTCTCATGCATCCAACCTGGACTGGCGATCTGTTTCACACTTGATAATATACATGTTTCAATGCTATTCTCTCAGATCATCCCACCCTCGCCTTCTCCCATAGAATCCAAAAGTCTGTTCTATACATCTGTGTCTCTTTTCTGTTTTGCAATATTGTAAAGTAATTAGCCTTGAACTAATAAAAATAAATGAGAAAAAAATCAGAGATGTTACTTTGCCAACAAAGGTCTGTCTAGTCAAAGCTATGATTTTTCCAGTAATGTATGGATGTGAGAGTTGGACTATAAAGAAAGCTGAGCGCAGAAGAATTGATGCTTTTGAACTGAGGTGTTGGAGAAGACTCTTGAGAGTCCCTTGGAGTCCCAAGGAGATCCAACCAGTCCATCCTAAAGGAGATCAGTCCTGGGTGTTCACTGGAAGGACTGATGTTGAAGCTGAAACTCCAATACTTTGGCCACCTCATGTGAAGAGCTGACTCATTTGAAAAGACCCTGCCTGATGCTGGGAAAGATTGAAGGTGGGAGGAGAAGGGGATGACAGCATGAGATGGTTGGATGGCATCACCGACTCGATGGACATGAGTTTGGGTGAACTCCAGGAGTTCGTGATGGACAGGGAGGCCTGGTGTGCTGCGGTTCATGGGGTCGCAAAGAGTCAGACACTACTGAGCGACTGAACTGAACTGATGTACAGGACTTTCACTGGGTATGTGAAGGTGTATGTAGGGTGAGTATGCATGTGTGCAGGGCGTCCTTGTGGCTCAGATGGTAAAGAATCTACCTGTAGTGCAGGAGACCAGGGTTCGATCCCAGGGTCAGGAAGATCCCCTGGAGAAGGGAATGGCAACCCACTCCATGGTTCTTGCCTGGAGAATCCCATGGACAGGGGCTACAGTCCACGGTGTCACAAAGAGACATGACTGAGCAACTAACACTGCCATGTATGTGTGCAGGGGGCTTTCCTGATGGCTCAGGGGTAAAGAATCCATCTGCCAATGCAAGAGACGTGGGCTTGAAAGATCCCCTGGAGAAGGGAATGGCAACCCACTCCAGTATTCTTGCCTGGAGAATCCCATGGACAGAGGAGCCTGGTGGGCGGTAGTCCATGGGGTCGCAAAAGAGTCAGATACGACTTAGTGACTGAACAACAACAAATGCATGTGTGTAGGGACACCTCCTCCTCTGCACCCACCTTGGCCCACAGGCTGTGATGACACACGTGTGTGTGTGTGTATGATCATATGTGCATGTGTGAATGTTCCAGAAAAGACGGAGCTCCCAGACCTGAGGGGAAGGACAGTGAATGAAGGGCCTGTGAAAACACAGTGTACAGGTGGCGGGGGGACAGATGTGGGGGCAGGTGTGGGGACAGGTGGGGGGTTGTGGGGGCAGGTGGGGGGTTGTGGGGGCAGGTGGGAGGGTGTGGGGGCAGGTGGGAGTGTGTGGGGGCAGGTGGGGGGTGTAGGGGCAGTTGGGGGGTTGTGGGGCAGGTGGGGGGACAGGTATGGGGCAGGTGGGGGGTTGTGGGGGCAGGTGTGGGGGCAGGTGGGGGGACAGGTGTGGGGGCAGGTGGGGGGTTGTGGGGGTAGGTGGGGGGACAGGTGGGGGGACAGGTATGGGGCAGGTGGGGGGTTGTGGGGGCAGGTGGGGGGACAGGTGTGGGGGCAGGTGGGGTGTTGTGGGGGCAGGTGGGGGGACAGGTGGGGGACAGGTATGGGGCAGGTGGGGGGTTGTGGGGGCAGGTGGGACAGGTGGGGGGACAGGTGTGGGGGCAGGTGGGGTGTTGTGGGGGCAGGTGGGGGGACAGGTGGGGGGACAGGTATGGGGCAGGTAGGAGTTGTGGGGGCAGGTGGGGGGTTGTGGGGGCAGGTGGGGGTGGGGGCAGGTGGGGGGTGTGGGGGCAGGTAGGAGTTGTGGGGGCAGGTGGGGGGTTGTAGGGGCAGGTGTGGGAGCAGGTGTGGGGAGTTGTGGGGCAGGTGGGGGGGTTTGGGGGTAGGTGTGAGGTCAGGCAGTCAGGGGCCAGCCCCTCTCTGGAGGAGGCCCTTGTGGGGAACCCAGACCTTGAGGTGAGTGGGAGAAGAGGCCTCAGGAGAGGGCAGGAGAGCGGCCCCGGTGTGTGCAGGGCCTCGAGGTGGGACAGCGGATGGCCAGCAGGGCGGGAGAGGGGCCCCGAGCCCTGAGGGGCGCTGGGTGGAGGGCCGTGCTTGGAAGGCTTTTCCTCCCGCCTCCCGCTTCTGCCCCAAGCTGGTTCCCGGTCTGCAGCTGAAGCTGAGCAGGAAGGCCTGGCCTTCGCCGTCAAGGACCATCAGCTGTGAAGGAGGCACTGATTTCTGGCTGGGTCCCTGAGCCTGGACCCTGGAGAGACAGCGCTGGGGCCTGGCTGAGCCACGCGAGTGGGGTGCGGTTTGTCCGGGTTTGTGGGGGGGGGGGCGTGTTCAGCTGGATTCTGCCCTGCACCGCAGAGTCTTCTGCTCCGCTGAGGACTGGCTTGCGTCCTGGCAGCACAGAGCTGATTCTGCACCCCTCAAGGGCACGTGGGGTCAGCAGGCAGGCGGAGGCTTCCTGTAGGAAGGGGCCTGTGTGGGGACCCAGGAGACGGCTCCAGCCAGCAGCCCTTGCCCAGTGCTGTTGGTTTTTGCTTGTTTTATTTTTTTTTATTTCCTTTGACTCAACTTTAGCTTTTATTTTGCTGAGACTTAATTTATCCTGTCACTTGGAGGGCTCAGTTCTCTCTCCAGCTGTGTCCAGAGCAGTTAAGTAAATGTTGAAGGAACATGCTGGAGTCCTTGCTGAGACAGGAAAACCACCAACCTGCCATGAAAGGACATTTGAAGCAGTTGGCTGGATTTTTTTCTTTACTTAGCGTCTTGCTGATGATCATAATAATGCCCCAAGGATGCCTTTCATTGATAGCCAGCTTTGAGCACAGCATTTATATTCCACCAAGTCCTCTGAATGTTCCAGAGAGGAGGGTCATGTGTTCAGTTGCTGGTAAATACACTGAGGCTCATGGAGGTGATGGGCCCTCCCCGGGCTGGCCCTCCAAGTTGGGCAGAGTGGGCTTCACCCCAGAGCCGTGGAGAGTCCCTACTTCAGACATTCAGGAAGGGGCCCTGGTTCTGCCTCTCTTAAGACATAGGAGCTGGGGGAAACTGGTTAATGCACCTGCCTCCATGCTTCTCATCTACACAAATAAAGGCTATAAAGACACCCAGCTTAGGACAAAGTGAAAAATTTCTTCTCAGCAAAAGATAGCATTGAGGAACAGTCGAGCTGTAGTTGGGGGAGCATTGCAGTACGGTCCCTAACAAAAGGCTCGTTCAAAATATATGAAGAGCTCCTGCAAACCAGAAGTGAAACCCAGACAACCTAGGCAAGTGTGGGCAAGGTACAGGAGGGGGAGATTTACACATGGGGTTGTCCGCATGGCCTCTGAGCATCTGAACCGAGGCTGGATGCTCAGGGAGGCGACAGAGCAACGCTCCTCTCCCACTGACTAGAGTGAAAACTAACGCGTTCATCGATCAAGTGTCCCCCATCCCTGCCCTGTCCCGCCTCCACGCCCAGATGACTTCACTGCAGTGTGAACCGTGTTCTTCATACATTGTGGTTAATAGTCCCAAAGCGTGTAGTCAACACACCCGCCTTGCAGAGCAAGCTGTGAGCATGGATTGGGGCTGGCTATTCTTTACTGTGGGTGGTGGTGGGGTTCCCTGCTCAGATCTTTACCTCATTTTATCACTTATTCTACAACCACTCTGTAAGGTAGGTATTATTATTTTTTCTTTTTTAAAAACTCTTTGTGTTAGGCCCTGAAATTCCCATTCATATGTGATGTCTGCGTCTGGTTTTGGTATTAGGAGAACACTGGCCTTGTAGAATGACCTGGGAATTATTCCCTCTGCTTCTATCCTCTGAAAGAAATGGTATAGAACTGGCATAATTTCTTTCTTAAGTGTCTGGTAGGACCTACCCGTTTTCCCATCTGGATTTAGTGCTTTCTGTTTTGGAAGGCTATTCATTACTGTCTTCAGTTTCTTGAAAAGATACAGCCATAACAAGATTGTCAGTTTCTTGTGGGAATTTTGGCAGATTTGTGTCTTTCAATAAATTAGTTCATTTCCTCTAAGTTGTCAAATTATTGGGTATAGAGTTATTTTAGTATTATTTCATTATCCTTTTCCTTTTTACTTTTTTATTGGAATTAAGTTGCTTTACAATGTTGTGTTAATTTCTAGTATATAGTGAAGTAAATCATCTATATGTATACATGTGTCTCCTCCCTCTTGGACCTCGCTTCCTCCCTGCCCCATCCCACTCCTCTATGTCAACACAAGAGCACTGAGCTGGGCTCCCAGCGCTTTATTGCAGGCTCCTACTAGCTATCTGTTTTACACGAGTGTGAGTGAGTGAAAGTCGCTCAGTTGTGTCCGACTCTTTGCGACCCCATGGACTGTATAGTTCATGGAATTCTCCAGGCCAGAATACTGGAGTGGGTAGCCTTTCCCTTCTCCAGGGGATCTTCCCAACCCAGGGATTGAACCTGGGTCTCCCGCATTGCAGACAGATTCTTCACCAACTGAGCCACAAGGGAAGCCTGTTTTACACATAGTAGTGTGTATATATTAGTCCTAATCTCCCGATTCATCCCACCCTCTCTTTCCCTCACCGGTGCCCACATGTCCATTTCTCTACATCTGTGTCTGTTCCTGCAGATAAATGGATAAAGAAGGTGTGGTCAGTGAGTTCAGTCACTCAGTCCTGTCCAACTCTTTGTGACCCCATGCTCTGCAGAATGCCAGGCTTCCCTGTCCATTACCAACTCCTGGAGCTTGTTCAAACTCATGTCCATTGAGTCGGTGATGCCATGCAACCATTTTAACTTCTGTTGTCCCCTTCGCCTCCTGCCTTCAATCTTTCCCAGCATCAGGGTCTTTTTCCAATGAGTCAATTCTTTGCAGGTGGCCAAAGTATTGGAGTTTCAGTTTTAGCATCAGTCCTTCCAATGAATATCCTTTAGGATGGACTTGTTTGATCTCCATGAAGTCCAAGGGACTCTCAAGAGTCTTCTCCAACACTACAGTTCAAAAGCATCAGTTCTTTGATGCTCAGCTTTCTTTATGGTCCAACTCTCACATCCATGCATGTCCACTGGAAAAACCATAGCTTTGACTAGACGGACCTTTGTTGGCAAAGTAATGTCTCTGCTTTTTAGTATGCTGTCTAGGTTGGTCATATCTTTTCTTCCAAGGATCAAGAGTCTTTTAATTTCATGGCTGCAGTCACATCTGCAGTGATTTTGGAGCCCAAGGAAATAAAATCTCTCACTGTTTCCATATGATACATATATACAGTGGAATATTATCCAGCTACTAAAAGGAACAAGATTGGGTGATTTGTGAGATGTGGATGGACCTAGAGTCTATCATACAGAGTAAAGTAAGTCAGACAGAGAGAAACAAATATATTAACATGCTTGTGGAATCTAGAAAAATTGTCCAGATGAACTTTATTATCCTTTTATTGTCTATGGTATCTGTAGTTACATTTTTTAAAATTTCTGATATTAGTAATTTTTGTCATTTTTCTTTTTTTCTGTTTTTCTTAGCTTCCACAGTGGCTCAGCAGTCACAAATCCACCTGGCAATGCAGGAGACGCCAGAGATTTGTATTTGATAACTGTGTCGGGAAGATCCCCAGGAGAAGGGAATGGCAACTCGCTCCAGTATTCTTGCCTAGAGGAGCCCACGGACAGAGGAGCCTGGCGGGCTACCATCTGTGGGGTCACAAAGAGTCAGACACGATTGAGCCTTAGCGACTGAATGACAACAGCAATATTTTATATGTTTATTTTTTTCTTCCAGCCCATGATTTGTGTGGGGGCTGGTGACTGCCGGGAGGCCTGAGACCTCGCCTCCTGTTTCGCGCCGCTGTTTAGTTCTCTCCCCTGAGGACTATGCTACTTCCCTCCAAGAAGCAGAAGTCGGCAGAAGCGATGCTGCGATTCTCCCAAGAATAGGCAGTTAGGTAAAGGCTGTAGCTTCTCCTCTGACCTCTCTGTCTCTTGCACCCTTTCCTCTGCAGTGAGACAGCTTTCATACTGTCAGGGCACTCAGGCCCTGTGTAGCAAGGTCGTGGTGTGTCTCAGCATTTACTCAGGACTCCTTTCATGTCTTTCAGTAACAGTTAAAATTGTATTTCTAAAGGTAGTGTATATCATTTGTTACATTTATTCATACATGCTGAGGAGTTTATATTATACTTTACTTTTAAAATATTTAGTGATGCAATCTAAAATAGCATAAGAATAATATAATAATAGCAGACTAAGACCTAGAAACAGACCCACATATACAGAGGCACTTGGTTTGTGATAAAGATGACACTATACAGCAGTGGGGGAAAAACATTTGAAAAGTGGTCAGTGGGATAACCATATGAAAAAAATAAAGCCATTACTACATTAAAAAAAACAGATTTAATAACATGTGAATTATAAGTTCTAACATAAAAGACTAAGCAAAAAAAAAAAAGTTCTACAGGAAACATAAAAGAGATACTTTTGGATCTTGCATGGACAATATTTCTTTAAACATGCCGCAGAATGAAGTAGTCATGGAAGAAATGCCTGATACTCTTATTAAATCTAAGAACCTCTGTTCATCAAAAATAACTTTAAAGGTCAATACAAGTATAAATACGGAAACCGCAAAGTGAGAGAAGATTTTCGGAAATCATGTAACTGACAAAGGACTCATATCAAAAATAAATTGAGAATTTCTGTGATCTTTGTGAAAAAGAAAAAAACTGGCAAAACATACATGCTTCCTCAAAAAGAGCATTCAGCTTGCTGCTAAATATATGAAAATATGGTCTAGCTCATTAGCCATTAGAGAAGGGGAAAACGTCCTCCTTAAAAAGAATTGCAACTTTTCTCATTGGTAGGCTTGTATAACAAAAAAACAGTGTTCAATTGTATTATACTTTGAATTTTGTAAAAAAATATATAAATTTCTTTCCTGTTATGTATAAGTAACTATGAAATTTATTTCGGCCACACATGCCTAAAATATGTTTTTATAAATTTTATTAGCATATGGCTGATTTACATCTATGGTGTTAGTTTTAGGTGTACAGCAGAATGATTCTGTTACACATATATTCACTCTGTTTTTATTCTTTCCTGTACTGATCATCACACTGTATGGAGTATGGTTTCCTGTGCTGCACATCAGGTCCTTATTAGTTGTCTCTTTTATATATAGTAGTGCTTATATATCAGTCCCAGTCCTCCAGTTTATCCCTCACCCCTTACGCCCTGGTAACCATAAGCCTTTCTACATCTGCTGTGGCCAGCACAGCAGGTAGGGATCGAAAGTGGTTGACACACAGTTTGGGAAAAAGCAACTGGAGACAGAATTAAAGTTTTAAAGATGGGGCCGGGGGACTCAAGACCTCTTGCTTGGATCAAGAGCCCTGTTCCTCGGAGCCGCATCACTCCTATTTAGTGTCTTGGCACACAGAAAGCATCTTGTGTTACGATGAAGTTGGCCTCCTGTGTCCCTGGTCATGCCTCCCATTTTACTGATTACTTTAAACTGTCTTTGTTATTTTCTTGTACAAGGGCTATCACCGCTGGAGATCATAGACCCGCATATACCTTGGGAAAACTTGGTGTGTGCACAAGCAGTGTGCTGAACTTGCGCTGACCAGGTATTCCAAGGTCCACACTATGTGTTTTTCCTTAGCTTAGCAGGGCATGATGACCCCAAGTGATCAACATGATGTACTTTTATTTGGATTATGCTGTATTGCTATATTTTGCTTTTATTCTTTTCCCATGGTGATTTTCTCATGGCTTAGTCAGAGCAACAGGCGGCTGACTATTAACCCTTGCATATGTCTGAGAGTCTATTTCTGTTTTTTTTTTTAATGTTCTAAATGTTTATTTAAAAAATAAACATGAAATGTGGAATGGTATATGAGCACATGCCCAGCAGAGTGGCTAGAACTGATAAAGCAGATAAGATGGCTTGTCCATGTTAGACAATGGGCTTCCCTGTGGACTCAGCTGGTAAAGAATCCACCTGTGACGAGGGAGACCTGGGTTTGATTCCCTGGGCTGGGAAGATCTGGAGAAGGGAATGCCTATCCACTCCAGTGTTCTGGTCTGGGGAATTCCATGGACTGTATAGACAATAAAGCTTGTCCATGTTAGATAGCATCGCTG